AACTTTATTCTCATAATATTTCAACTTTATTCTCATAATATTTCAACTTTATTCTCGTACGAGTTTATTCTTGTAATATTATGAATTTTTTCTTGTAATGTAATTTTTTTTTCTTAGTGTTGCCCTAATACTCCATCGTAAGCAATAAGGCCTATGTGATTTTTTTAACTGTAGAAAAATTAAGAATGCTACTTTGAAGAAATAAAAAGTAAAGTGAAAGTATGTTTTACTCCTTGTAATGTTTCTAGTATTCACATATTTGCAAAAGAAATTGCAGGAAAATGGCTCAAACTAGCCCTTTTAGTTGTTGTTATAACAACCAATAAATTTCAGTTTTGTGTTAGTTTTGGTCAAAGCTTGAATGAGGAGGAACCAAAGAGCCACATGTAGCTCCAGAGCCGCACAGGTTGCAGACCCCTGCCTAATTAATTCCGTTGTTTGTTTGTTTTTATTTGTAGCAGCAGACTGCCCTCTGCAGGTCAAATCAAGCAACTTGATTCTAAAGCACATTTATAAATAGATTTGGACTAAAGTGCTGCACGAAAACAAAAAAATTATAAATAAAACAAAAGTAAAAAGTACAATAAAATCAAGTAATTTTGTTTAAGAAAATATGTAAAAAAGTAAGCAGTGAATATTGACTCAATAAAAACCTAAATGAACTTGCACAAAAGTCTGATCTCTTCTAACCTTCAACCTAGTTTTTGGTAGACCAAAAATCTGCTCATCAGATGATTTCAGAGTCCATGCAGGAACTTAAGCAAGTTGCAGAAATGCAAAGGTGCGAGTCCATTTATTTTTAAGACATCAGAATTCACTAAATTGATCCGGCGGTGCACAGAAGTGAGGACAGGAACTGACAGGTGAAATGAGCTCAGATCTGCTCGCTCCACTGATAGCAGCATTTTCAATTTTATTTGATTACGACAGGCGTGAACATGAATAACGTCGATTATTATTTGCAATCATTATTGTGAAATCATGCAAAATGTTTTAACGCGTTTTCTCTGCTCTGTTTTCCAGAAAATAACTTCTCTTTAAGAGACACACGTGTGTTTTTGAGCATGAATCTGTTTACATCAGAGGGGAGTCATTACATCTCAAAGATCACACAAAGTTTCTTTGTGACATTTTTCAGTTTTTCTGTTTTCCTCATTCTGATGATGTCACTTTTCGTTTATTCTACCCTGAAGCAGTGACTCTCATTGGACAGTGCCTGGTTAGTCTTCGTGGTGCATCCTGGTCTGATCAGACAGCAAAACCTCCGAAAAGACGAGTGAACTCGAGACCTCAACACTGACTCGGTGACATGATGCAACTCTTGGTCTGGTTATGCCATTTTAGCTGATGCAACTTGATATATCATAAACTGTCTTGCAGTGATGACTGATCTGATCACATTAAATAACTTCTCTCAACCAAATTTCAAAGTACACTATTTATCAAATAGTTAAACTTTGTCTAAATTTGTGTGCGTATAAAAGCCAAAACAAGTCCTGCTCAAAGAATTAATTTTTCCTTCAAAAAGAGAATTAATCCTTGACTTATAATAAATTATAGTTTAGATTGTTTATTGTGTGAATGCCTATATGGCATTCATTGTTGCTTTTCTGTTTAATCATTATTCCGTACATTTTTTGGAAGCTGTCTACTCCCACAGGTTTAGTGCTATATGAACATATCATATATCAAACCGTTCAGTTTTTTCAGGAAAATCTGGCTATGACTTTTTTTATTGATGCAACTTTAGCTTTTGGAGATATTTAGCCTTTTCTGCCATTTTGGCTCTCATTGAAAATGAAAGGAGCTCTCAATAAACAGACCAACGGCGCCATCCTGCAGTTTTCAAAATACCCTACGCATTAACCTTACTTTGGCCCAGAAGCATGACAACTTGATAGACTTGTCCATTTCCCCAACATGGAGCATGCTGAAGGGGCGGGGCCACACTTGAAAGTTTGACCTCTCGCCACAAAAAATGAAATGCTAATAGCTCATAAATGAAAACTGTCTGAAATATGAAACCTTCAGTGATTGATCCACATCAGGTCCCCTGCAAGACTGAATGGTCAAATCATGCCATAAATTAAGCCACGCCCCCTGGCAACAGGAAGTGTAAAGTTTTACATTTATCATCTCAAACTGACCCCTGTCATCTAATCAGCATGGCAGTGTGTCCAGTGGCCGAAGACATGTTGGTGTAACTTGCTTTCTAACACTGACAGTTTTGGGTGGAGCATGTGGGCGGCGTGGCGTGGCGAATAAAACGCACCAAAATCAGTATGCTCGATCATTATCCACCCCTTGAACAGGAATCCAGGATAAGTGGCCAATAGCCTCTATAGCGCCCCCTAAGTTTTACTTACATTTATATCTCCATCATACATCATATGATCTGCATCAGATTTGTTTGTGCTTGATCAGTGAGCAATTATACAGGTCCTTCTCAAAAAATTAGCATATTGTGATAAAGGTCATTATTTTCCATAATGTAATGATTTAAATGAAACTTTCATATATTTCAGATTCATTGCACACCAACTGAAATATTTCAGGTCTTTAATTGTTTTAATACTGATGATTATGGCATACAGCTCACGAAAACCCAAAATGCCTGTCCCAAAAAATTAGCATATTTCATCCCACCAATGAAAGACAAGTGTTTTTAATACAAAAA